CTTGCCGGTCGCGCAGAAGCCGCACTTGAACGCGCAACCTACCTTCGGAGGGCACGCCATCGCGGCCCCATCCCCTTCCGCATCCCCCTACTTACCCTCCCCCTCTCCGCCGCCTCCCCTTCCTCGACAATTGCATACGATGAACACTCCTCTTCCCCCTGACTCTGTACGGAAGATGTTCGGTCCTCTGTGTAGTGTGTTTTCACAGAGGATGTCAACAGTTACTTCTTCCTTATGGTCTTAGGATCCGATTGCTCTCGGTGTTTCAACATGGTGTTCCCGCTGCAGCGTGGGCTTCATTCTCGGATCGGCGCATTGCTCCCACCGTTCAGAGTGTGCTCTCGCCCCAGCGCGGGATACTTCTCTGGATCCGAATCCTTCTTCATCGTTGTCGCCCCCCTCATCGCCCCTCCTCCGCCTTCCCCTGGTCCTCCTGCTCCTGCCACTCGTTCCGCTCCAGCTGCTGCTGCTGCTGTTCGTCCTCGCCCTCCTTCCTCATCCACGAGTCCCAAATAAACCGTGATGAAATCCTCAGCGAGAGCGTGATTCCTGAGTGTCGAGGGCGAGGCGTCTGAATAAATTCTTCTTCGCGAGAGCGCGACTTCTGTACAAAATGTGAAGAAGTCCCGCGCGAGAGCACGATGTGGGAATAGATTGTGAGGAAGTATCAAGCGGGAGCCGCTGTTCCTGTAGAGCGGGGGCCTGTGACACAATGTGGTGACACCCCACTTGCCCTTTTCAGGAAACAGCGTGCGAGCCCCGCCCAAGCACTTGACTTGAAAAATACAGTGGTTACCGAAATATGATAGATGATTGGAAAGTTATGGTTATTGCAAAATCTCGGGTGGTCAACAAGAATTGTTCATTCGGAATGAAAGCTTAAAACAACAAAAACGTGCCAAATGTTGGCCGCGCGTGCGCACGCTCGAGGAGTCTGGGCCATTCGCCCTCGCACTCTGCCGCGCCGCCCCCTCGACGCCCCCCTGGACTGGCAACCTGCGCTCTCGACAGCCAGGCCCCTTTCCGCACCCCGCCCCCGACCCCTCCCCGTGCCCCAGGTGGGGCCGTCGGCCTGGCCGCTCCTCCTCCTCCTCCTCCTCCTCCTCCTCCTCC